GCTAAGCTAATTCATCTCTCAGAAAACCGCTCTTGTTGTATCAGTGTATCACTCTGAGGACACTGAGCTGCTTGTTGCTGAGTTCAAAAAAACATTTTGAGACTTTATTGAAATTCTAATTTTCCCCATAATTTTTATATTAATGTAACATTTTCAGATCAGATTCCATTTACAAGATTAATTCAGGATACATTTTATAGTTATTGATAGGAGTGTATGCAATTTAATAGGTTGTTAATGAAACCCACTTCAGGGAGCAGCAAACCCATCATTAATTACTGAGGAGAGTTTAGGTTTCCCATCCTGGACAGAGTTCAGATGATTTTCTTACCTGAAAAAAACTCTGGAGGAAAAGCTGAATCATTATTTGACTTGGAAACGTGTCAGATGTGTTTCTGCCAACAATAAAAGGATTAACTGTTGGCACCAAACTTCAGCATTCAGCAGCTTCAAGCCAAAGGCGTCAGTGTTAGCATCATATAACATGTAGCCACATCAGCTGAGCTCTGTGTTACTCTGACCTTTGACCTCCTCACTGTTGGTTATGTGTTATGTTGATGGGAGTTTGATAATCTACATTTAACACTTGAGATTCATTTTCTGTAAAATCAAAATACATAACTTTTTTTTTTTTTTAAATAATGATCCTTCTCTCGCTCTCTCTGTCTTTATTTCCCTTCATGATGCGTCGTCATCAACAGTGAGACGCAGGGAATTTTCATCCAATCATAATCCTTGGAGACACTGGAGGAAGCGGACTGTGAGGACAACCTGCAGCAGGAGGAGGCATGCAGGCTTCCTGGTCGCCACATCTGGGAGTCGCGAGTAAGTCTTTGAAAATAAACTCACACACACCTGCGCTTCATATTAGGAGAAAAAAACTGAGCAGAAAAATGCAAGTTTTTACTAAGACATGTTGATGCAACAAAAAAAAAGGTGATTATGTGATTTTGATCTTGATCATAAATCATCCAAAGTCAATTAGTTTCCTCAAGCAAGGTCTTAAAATGAATTAAACAGTCCTGAATCCTGTGTCACAAGTCATTCAGCACAAATGATCATGATCACTGTTCCTCATATTGTAACAGGTTTGATTGGGCTGCTGAGTGTGTTTTTGTTTTTTGTTTTTTTTCTTGAGAGCTGGACTGGGCATAGATTCATCACTGGATGCGCCACAGTGTCATGTGACTCTCACAGATCTAAATTAGGCCAATAATCAGGGACGCCTGGCGGCTGAGTTGTTGAATGCACAACATGTACATGCAACTGTGTTTCACTCCCGCGGCATGTTCTGCTGTGGCATCCCTCTCTCCCACTGGGTCTCGTCTTATTTTATTGTATACCAGGAATGAATGCAGAAAATAATAATTGTATAAAAGCATTCATTGCAGCAATTGTAGCTGTTATGTGATCTTTGTGTTGGATGGATGTATCAGTGGGCCAATGTTCTCTTTAATAAGTATCACATATCAGATGGTCAGTGTTGTCGACTGCCGATGTGCTTTAAGCTGAGATCTGATTTCACTCTGCAGTGAAACCTGCTGCTAGTCCAGGTTTTGGTTTTCAGTGGACAGTTTTAGTGTCTCATGGTGATGTACGGTCTGTTTTGGAGGATTTCCCACTTTGGCTAGAAGAGAAACCTGCAGGAAACACAATTCTGGTGTTGTTTTCGCTGGAAATTGTAAAAACTGACAAATCTACTCCAAGAATTTGACATAAACTTGAGTCAAGCCGTTTCAAAAGGATGTTGTCATGCCGGATTGACCTCTGACCTCCTTATTTTTGGTTGCTTGTTATGTTGATCTTTTAATTAAAGCTTGTACATAGTCAAAAATATTATTTGCTGAATGATGCAAGTGTAGAGGGATTTTATTACTCTGACATCCAGAACTGCAGAACAGTGATCTTTGTTACTGCATCCCTCTTTTCTCATAACTCCGAAGGCTGCTGAGACTTTCAGTAATGTAATAGCAGCCAACAAAGTATGTACAATATAGTGGTGTGTGTAACTCGACTGCTCTATTGAACATACAAACACAAGTGGTAATTAGACTGACAGAGTCTGAAAATCCTGCGAAACATTCCTACAGCCCCACTGCACCACTGCGTTTATGTGTTTGTGCTGTCAAAAAACTAAAAGTGGGCCTCCCCTCACACACACACACACACACACACACACACTGAGGCAGAGAGAAGGAGAGAAAATTAGGATTATAATCTTGGTAATCAGCAGTCACGCCTGAGGCAGACAGCTGCAGAACTGCACAGCTCCAATTTAGGTGTTGGACATTAAAAACCATTAAACCCAAGTGAATTTCTACTTATTGATTTTTCCTGGGCAACATTTCAACTTCAGAAAATAAACCATGGCGGATAATATGCTGCAAAAGCTTCAAATTTTTATTTAGAGAAAAAAATACAGAGATCAACACTGAGAAATACAGTTAAAAATCACCACAATGCATCAGAAATTATTTGTAAATAATTACAAATCTGCCTTTTTTATTTGACTATTCACCTCAAAGCCTCAATAACAAGTCTGCAAAGCATGATAAACATGTTTCCTCATAACTCACTCCATCACATCGACAACATGCGCAACAACATGTTTGCATTTTTAATCTGAAATTTACAATCAAAAAGATCGACCAAAAATTATGAATCCATGCAGAAGATGCTTTTGGAACCCCCTTCACCTCATTTAAATCAATATATTCATTAAGCACAAGGTCCCCCTATAGGTCACACACCGACTGTAATCCGTTTTCACGGTGAATATGTGGCCCCTCGTAGCAGAGCCTGTGTGCGTAAAAAAGGCGAGAGGTGCCACTCCAGGCTCGCATGGATGAATGGGACACAGAGCTGGAGCTAAAGTGTGCGTGCGTGTGTGTGTGTGTGTGTGTGTGTGCATGAGAGAGAAATAGTGTGTGTGCAAGGGAGGGAGAAAGGGGGAGCTGGACTGCTTCGTTTACATGCAAGCACCGTGGCAGTAAATTACGCATGACAATAATTCACCCAGGACCGGATCCACTTTCGACCCGAGAAAAACGGGAGGCAAAGCAGATTCACCCCGAGCGATTTTACCCACCTCCGCCCTCCACCTCCTTGTTGTTGGATAAGAAGAAGAAAATAATGACGGCATTTCATGATGGAGATGATTGAAAAAACTAAAGACAATCAGAAACTTACCAAAAAACTCAGTTTGGCATTTGAGTCCCTAGGAGAGTCCTCTGGTCCATCCATACAACAGAAACAAAGATTGAAGAAGGTATTTATATTAATAATAATAATAGTATTAATAATAATAATAATAATGATAATAATACAAGTGAGAAAATTGAGAAAACAGTAGGCTAAAACTGTAAAAATATAAAATTCCTACCAGAAGTTAAGACCCTGTTGATGGGTGATTTCTTTTTGCATCTGATTGTTTGTTGTTTTTTTTTAGGGTGGGGGTGGAGGGGGGGCATCAAGCAGTTCAGCCCCTTGATTGATGATTTAATTAGCCATACAGTGGCGAACTGCAGGAGGACAGGACACAAAATAATACTTTATTTACATAACCAATCACGGCGCTGCAAAGGTGGAGCTTCCTCTCTCTCTCTCTCCCTCTCTCTCTCTCTCTCTCTCTCTCTCTCTCTCTCTCTCTGTTACAAGTCGGACCAGACTGAGCTGAGATGGTTGACTTCTGTAATAAATGCGAGATTCATCCTGTTAAGTGGCGTCCAGAACGAAAAATCACTGTAATACTGCTGGAATATTCCTGTGATATTCTTATAATTCTCCTGCAGGGACCCACAGAGCGTCTCAGTAGTGACTTTACAGTCACTTTATTGTACTTTATGGCATTTTTCAGCTCCTTTAGTATCATCAGAATATTCCTACTGAGGATGCAGTCCTCTCCGTCACTGCCGGGCTGTCGTTTGTGCAGTCATAGTTGTATAACATCCCTAATTTAATATGGATTCACTTTGGTTCATTTTCGTTAGGGGGTGCAATTGGAAAATGCAAATAAGCAGAGGCAAAAATTACAAATGATTTTTTTCCCCTCCACAGTCTGACCATATGTGGAGTTTACATGCATTTACAGATAGAGACAGGGATGTACCTGCAGACACACTGATGCTGCAGGTACATCACAGCCAATAAAACTAAAATGATTTAGGCTACTGCTACGCTGCAAAAACAAATCCACCTTAAGTGATTCACCCACTTTTTTTTAAACCTTTACAATCAATTTTTTTCTCAAACAAACGAGACACAAATTCTGCTAAAGACGCTGAAGCTCCACTTGTTTCCAAAACGTTTTCAGATCCCTCCAATCATTTTCTAAAAATCATAATAAAGCAAATGAAGCCTCTGACATCAACTAAATTATCCTCGATATTAGAAAACGTTTATGAATTAACACTTGTGCAAATGTCACCACACTTGACTTGAGTTTTTTAGCAAAAAGAATCACGTTTTCCACTAACTGACACCGTCCTGCCGGGACATTTTTTACAGCGTAGATAAAAGCCGAACATCCCCAAACCTTTTGCAGACGCAGCCAATTACAATAACGAAGAATATGTGGAATTGCCTCCCCACCCCAACTCCTGCATCTTGTCGTATCAACCCTGCCATTTCTGCAAATTAAACGGAGTGGAAATAGAAATTAAAAAAAAGAATCCTTACATGATTGCGGCCGGTGTGGACGCGCTCCAAGTTTCTCCCCCCCTTCCACACACACACACATACACATACACACACACACACCACACACACACACACAAACACATTCACACGAAGAAAGAGAAAATACACTGTCGCCTGTTCTTTGCTCCGCGTCGAAGCCCGACATAGTTGGTTTCACTCAAAAAGAGAAGAGATGGAGAAAGAGAGAGGAGAGTGAGGGAAAGAAAAGAGGAGGAAGAGGGAGAGAAAGGAGAGAGGGAGGAAAAAAAAACTTCACGTTCAACCCAGAAGATGCTCACGTTTGGCTCTCCTCAATTATCCCCTCCCGTGAAGATAGGTGGCGTGCGTTTCAGGGGGCTTCTCCTCTGTGTTACACGGCAAAGAAAAGGAGGTGGAAAGAAAAAAAATGTCATTAGAAGAGGCGTAACACGTCAGTCCCTACCCAGGTTTGTTTCCTGGAGTGGGTGTAAGACATCAGTTGTAAACCTGCCCTAGCAGGAATAGCGGTCCCTCCCTCCTCCCAACTATTTCTAAGGCTTTATTTCTAAGGCTTTATTATCACCGGTGGAAAAGGATCCGCTCACCGACGCACTCCGGTATCATCCTTCCTCGCAACTCCTATCCACAAGACACCTCTTTACACTCCTAAAAACAGGTATGTGCCTCCTCTCTTTTTATTTTTAGCCTTTTTTTCGGAGAAAGGTTGGATAATAAACTTCCATGCGCCCGCGTCAGAGTTGGAGCTCAACTTTGCCTTACCTGCACAGGTGGAAATAGGTGCGTTTGTTTTGATTTTTTTCCTTCTTTTTTACCTCCGTGATGTAGAGGCGTCCTGCAGGTTCCTGACAGCCGGGGAAATGTGCTCTTTGCGGGGCGTTTTGGCGCTGCACAACACCGCTATCCTTTGGAGGAAAAAGACGATATGCATCCCGTTTTCCCTCTGAGTCTCTTTAGTCTGTATTATACTAGTGCCTGTTTGTATCATTCGGCTAAACGCTCAAGTGTCCACAACAAACAAAACCTCTTGTCAATATTCACTTCCCCTAATAACGGTATTTGCGCTGATAAATTAGCTGGAGAACCGAACATCCCACACAGGCGATCTGAGTCTTATCGCTTTTGTTTATGCGCCATTTGTGCCTTAAAGATTTTTCTTATAGTGCGGGGTCAATTGGCACATTTTAACAAGTATTTCTCATCTGCTATTTATTAACTGTTTGGATTTAGTTTATGAAACCTAGAGGTGTAATTTTCTCAGGCAAACCCAAGTGTTTATTGAAGTTATATGACTTTTAATCAGACCACACAGTGCAGGCTTATTCCAAGCTGAGGCTCATTCTCGCTCTCGCCGTCTCTAACGTGTAAGATCTGGATTTGACCCTAAAATCTGACACAAATTTGATTTATTAACCTGTTTCTCTTCCTGTGCCAAACCCGGACTGAAAGCGCAAAACGTGAGTAGATCCTGCCAGTTTTAATGAAAATAAGTTAAAAGGTTAATTTTCTTAAAACTGTAGAAAAATACTAAGCGGGTTGTGAAACTTTTCTGAATGAAATAACAATAGGGTGTCAGGTTTTCGCTGCTGTTCTCATTGGCGAAATAAATAGTGGTTTTCCTAATAAGAGAAATTATAATTCTCTTCCTCCTCCTGCTGTTTGCTTTGCTGTTAATGCCACTAAGCTGACAGCCGATCAGCTGAAAATCAAAATTAGATGGACACGGATCCCCTCACCGCTCCTTCTCATACTTTCACCCACGGCTCTTTTTCTTTTTTACAATCCGTCCCTCCATCCAAGTTACATTTGCAGTTTCTTGTCCGCGTCCGGCGCAAGTGGATCTCCATGCTAATTCCCACATTGTTGGTGCTGCTGTGTGTGTTTCCCGTCAGATATCAAGCTGAAATCAAGGAATCGAGTCCATGCGAGCTGCCATCTGATCCCACACACACTTATCAATGAAGCAAGAGATCATGGCGGATGGCCCCAGGTGTAAGAGGCGAAAACAAGCCAACCCGAGACGGAAAAACGGTAAGAAAATCACGGGGGAGACAAACCAAGCAGTCGGGGGAGGGGATATCTTTGGATGCAAGCCTGGTTTGAAGGTTTCCACTGCGGTTCAGGGATGTGTGAAGGTCCGCGGCTGGTGCGCATATCTGCCTTCCCCTTTTACGCAGGGATAAAGGGACCGTTATCCGGGGGAGAAACTGTGCGTAAATGCGTCCGTGCTGCAGCCCCACTCGAACCCTTGGAATCTTAAAATTAGCGGGTTTTAAAATGTGTATTTTAAGGGGATTATTTTAGGAAGGTTGTGAGGAGGTTAGTTGGAAACTTGTGGATGTTGGAAAGTTGGACTGTAGCGGTGCCGGCTGCTTTCTCGTCGGGACAAACCCCGCCATGGGGGACTGTGTAGCGGTCACTCAGAGCATCGGTGGCTGGAGCAGACTCACGCTGCTCGGTGTAAAAGTCCAATCTTGTGACTTGAGTTTTGATTTGCTTTAATCCACGCGCTGGCATGCCTTAGCCGTGATGTTTTTTCTCTGTATATAGGCCTTTACATCTCCTCTGTAAAGCACATTTTCAAGTAATTTAGCCCCACATTGTCGCTGTTTTCCGGGACAAGCTGAGTGGTGAAATTATTCACAGGAGATGGCAGTTGGTTGTTGGCTCAATTTGCAAACCTGTGCGTTTTTGTTTACCTTTATGACTAAGTTTATTGGAGTGGAGTAATCATATATAAATAGTATGACATGTCCGATAAATGCTGGACATTAATTGGGTCTGGACTGGAGTGCTGGAGGTGGAGATTTGTTGGTTTTCTTTCCCCATTTGACTGCACACTTTCCCACAAGAGGCAAATCTGCAGTGACATTTCCTGGCCCCGTTATTCCTGATTATTCCATATAGGCTCCAAACACACTGGGAACTGAAGCAGTGTGTGTGTAAAATATCGAGGCTGGGATTCAGATGCTCAGACTAGGCTTTTATTTGCTTTCCCCACAACAGTTTTTTAATCTCTGCCCCCACAGGTTATTTATCAAGATCAGATTTCATTTATTGATTTCATACAATCAATAGCAGACAAGCATTTTGTTCCACACTAAATAGCACAAGAGCACAACAGTTGAGCTGGAGATTTCCAATATATATGTACATTTACAGTATTCATACTTAAAAGAAAAATAGAATAATAAGACACATTTGGAGAGATGACAGCCTGTTTAGCCCTGGCCACCTGTTTTGTAAAGGGGGAGTGAGAGGGAGAAAACCAGTCTTGGCTTTTGTACCAAATGTAGCATTTGATAAAATAATATTAGCAAAGCAAATATAATTTTCACACCCTTAAACCTGACAAGAGACGCCGAGCTTTGGCAGAATGTGTAAAGAATATTTATATCTCCTATAAAAATGTATTCCCTCTTTCATACAGGAGGATGCACATTTAAAGAAAATAGATTTTATATCATTCTAGTTTTAAAAATGTAAAATGTGAATCCCCCCCCACCTTTTTTTTTTTCTTTCTTCCATAACAACTAGCTCTGTCTGATTGACCCCCCCCCCACCCCCAACCCCCTCCCTGCCACCCCCCACCCGGCCCTCCCTCCTCACCCCCAATCCTCCCCCCTGGGAATGCAGAGGCTTATTGAGGCTTGGCCACTCTGGGTCTGTGTGTCTCTCTGCCTGTCTCTCTGTCCTCTTCCTGCCTGGCTCTGTGGAGGGACGGTAGGGCAGGGCGAAGCGTGTGACAGCCGGCAGGACAGACTCTGACTCCTCCAGCAGTAACTAACAAAACGCCTTGAATGCACAAAAAAAAAAAAAAAAGAGAAAAGAAAAAAGAAGCATCGCGTACACACACACACACACACACACACACACACACACACACACAGGGGTTTTTCTAAATATTTTACCAGATGGAGGGCGGATGCACCAAGTCTTTCTCCCCTTAACTAACAAATCAGATGAATATACACAAATCTGAAATATGTACAATTACAGCTAATTTCACTGAGTGGTTTTTAGAGGTGGTGGTGCGTATGCCATCATGTTTTGATGTAAATTCTAATCTGTTTGCCACCTGTCCTTATTTTTGGTTTAAAAAATGTTACATGCTTTACATCTGGTTTAGTTTTTTTGTTTTAATTAAGTAACTGAGCCATTTAAATTTTGTCCTGATATATTTTTCATTCATTGCATCCTCACAGATAGAATAACTGGAATTGTTGGGAATTATTTTTTCTGCTGGTTAAAAATGGATGGGGCATTTCAGCGTTTGTGCCAATTAGTATTAATGAGGCATTTTGCTCACTAAGTTGTCTAACCAATGACATTCTCGTCCAGATGACTGTTGGCCTTCAGGGTTGGAGGTGCTACTGTAGCTTTACTCACTCACTGCCCAGTCTGTCATGTGGTATTTAACCACAGTTCATGACTTATCCCCTCCTCATCCAGAGCTCCTGCACGCCGCTGTGAAGCCTCTGTCTTACAGCTGATGGACTGAAAAGGCAGCGATATTTAAAAGCAACAAAACCTGAGAAATTACATTTTTTCTTTTATCACCCTGTTCCCCACTGTTAAACCGCTCGAAAAAAACCTTCTCCTCTCCCGGTGTGAAACTTGATCTCGGCAGCGTGAAGTGTTTGAGAGTTTGGCCCTCGCCAGGTGTTGCTTGTCACATCCAGCTGTGAGCGCCCAACAGAAAAGCACTCGCACACCTGTCCTTATTTTGATATTACTCAACCAGCACAAGTATCAAAAACATGCCTCTTTAGAAAAAAAAAAATCGTTCGGCTTTGTTAATTGTGTTATTTTCGATTTGGATGTCACACAGACTCTTTGCATCAAACTGTGCCAGCTTTTGTCTGAGGAGAAGATGAAAGAGGAAATACAGATGTTGCATTATTTTTCTCAGGGTGTTTCCTGTAAACGTTTGATTCTGCATCACCCGGTTTTTGAGCTGTTTTTTGATTTTTTTCCGTATCCCAGATGACATTTCGATGTCAGGACATACCCTCGGAAATGCACTGATTACATAATCTGAAGCAGCAGCAGCAGCAGCAGAGGAAGAAGAAGCAGAAAGACGAGGCCAGTCTCCCTCTCTCTCTGCGTCTCTCTGGCTGCTGGAGTTTGATATAATAGTCTGAATGTAGTTATTAAGGCTATCACAGATTCATGCTTAAGGTGGAGGAAAAATAGGGGAAAGTGTGTATGTGTGTGGGAGGGGGTAGCCTCGCTTTCAGACCCAGACAATGGCAGATTTCTGCCAGTCTAAACAATTTGTCCATCTCTATTATTCCTTCGCCTTTTTAAAGTTGTGTTCGCAGCT